GTCCTTAGCCTTCCAGGTTGGGGTCTGAAAAACTCCACAGCTGGTTGGTTGGAGACATTGGAGGATATGGCAGCGAACCGACAGCAGTGACGTTTTTGTTGTCATTTCTTGGCAGGCCAGAACACTTGAAACTGTATGTATGCAGAGTTCGATTGTGCATTCTGTGTTGACCATAGATGTTCACCTTCTCCCTCAAAGTAGGTCCAATGCCTGTCCACCTCATGTTTTACCACTAATGTTTTAAGTATTGCGAGTTTGCAACGATCAGTGAAGTTCGCCTCACTGTATTTCGCTGTACGATGATGATGCTGATGAGTCCCATCACAGTTTACGGTCACTTTCAACCTCAGTCGCCTTGGTGCCAAAATTGCAATGATTGTATCAAGCAGCTTTGCCAACTATGAGATAGCCATAACAAGAATACCTACAGGCTTTATTTAGAAAAAGATCTAGTTGCACTTTCTGTTCGTGTTTAGGTACACGACCCGATTGCCGTGTTCGTTTTAAGGAAATATTCAACCTTAAGAAGCTGTAGGGGGGCAGAGGAAAGTTGTACTTATAAGCTGAAGTTTCTCTCTTGTCCCGTAGACTATTCCCACAGCTAAATCAGGTGATTGGTAAAAAATTATTGTACATCGTGTGTTATTTGTTTTGTTTTTTGTTCACAATTCCTGTAATACTACGCTCACCGATGTTTCATCAAATTTGAGCTTGAAAAATTCACTTGCTGGCTCCCAAATAATGTATAATCATAGAAAATTCCAAGTGGTTCCTACCCTGAAAACAAAGAAATGACCTCAATTATTCAGTCGAAATTTCGAAAACACTCATTTAAATGGATTTTGAGCAAGAACTTTAGCAGCGGACCACTGGGTGAATAAATTACTACAGTATTTACCAAATCAAAATCGTGTCTGCTCTCCGGGATCCTCTTTGTGAATATCCGACATGCTGTCCCCATCAATTTTTAAGGATGGAGGTCTAGCCTTGGTTTCGGAGTTAACAAACTCCTGGGTTCAGTGTGGGAAAAGGAACTGGTTCCAACTGAATGGTGTAGATCGGTCGTCTTATCGATTTACAAGAAAAGTGACGGATCCTCTTGTGAAAACCACAGAGGAATTAGTTTAACTAGTCAAGTCAAGTCGAAAATCGCTTTATTCATGCTAATGGATGGTTTCTCAGCTTCTTGCACTCCAGGAACATTTATCGTCGCATACAGTCACAAAAAAGTGAGAGAGAAAAGCATCATCAATTCAAAGAAATGTGGAGTAAAAAGTTTGAAAATGAATATCAATTGCGTAGGAATTTCAAAAAGTCTTGTCTAACGGATGCCCTGTAATCCAGAAATCTCGAAAGATAGAGGATGACGGACAAATGCTAGGCAGTGGTACGAACATACACCAGTTTATAACGACATCTTGTGACAGAAGTGAATATGCATTGTTTAAGTTCTGTGTGTAATGGGTGATTGGTGTCTGATTAGTGAATACAATGGAACTTTCAAAGAACGCAAGCGGGTAATAAAGAAACAACCGTCGAATCTTCACAAAAGTAGAAGTTAAGTGTGAGGTCCAGGTGAGATCTCGGCAGATAGTGACACCGAAGTATTGTAGAGAGTTTACTGAGGGAGCAGGCTGGTTGTCAACATAAAGTGCAGAACAATTTCTTTCAAAAGAATATAGCCGTTCTCCTTCGGCGAGCGAAAATGTGGCATCGCTACATTTAGCTGCATTGAGAGATAGCTGGGAAGATGAAGATCATAAGTTTAAGGCAGATAAACTGGTTTAAAGATATGAGAAGCGGAAATCACCTTGGAATTTGGAACCAATTGTGACATCATCAGCATACTTAATAAGATCATTTGGGTTAGTGGGAAGGTCACGAATATAGAAAGAGAAAAGAAAAGGGGACAAAATTGCTCCCTGGAGCACCCCTGTATTGACTGGTAGAGAGTCAGAGGTTTTTCC